AAAAAGGTTAGTTATACGAAATACATTAAGACAATCTCAATCTAAGCACAGCCAACTGATGTATATTATTGAAATTAAAGGTGATTTCGGCTTGAAGTAATTTTGTGTAATATACCAAGGCCTATACACAATGCAACGATAATCTCACCCAAAACCAGTGATCTTAGTTTGTCCATGAGCCTGCAATCAGCATATATGGTTGGATAAAAAGTTTTAAGGACGTCAAATTTTTGCCTCAAAGTTTTCAAAAGATAGCTTAATTTGGTGTTAGCCTGCACAAAAAAAATGAACTTGAAGGCGCCATACAGTCTAACTACCTCACGAAACAACAAATTTGCTAGATTAATAGTCACATCTTCCCTCAAGGACTAAAGTGATCTTGTTGAGACAAATCAACTGTTTATTATGAAAGAAAATTCCCATCACGGTATGTACGAAGGCAACCACAGTTAAAGTCCTACAATGATCCTCCAAACTATTTTTACAGGGAATGACTATGGTGCAAAAATTCCATATTTAATTGATTGTCCCTTCGAAATCTGATGCAGGACATCTTCAAATAAAATTAATAACAATTTTGAGAACTTCAGGCCAATAAAAGCAGTTAAATATCGTTTAAGGAGTCTTTCTGAAATGGCCAATTAGTTGATGAATTTCTTTCATGCTTGGTGAGATTTTTACCACCTCAATCTGAAATGAACTAAAAATCCATTTATGGCCTAGTCTAGTGTTTGACTGTGTTGATTATCTCTTGAAATTTGTGGGGAGCAGTCTTTAAACTTCTAAATATGGTTGTGGTCTTAGAACTTTGGAATTGGAGATGTATGTGTATCTTTAATTTTGAGGAAGGTTAAGCGAACGGTTATTTTTTGGTTGAATGGATTAAGAGTAGAATTTGAACTTCAAAATTTTGGCGAGTGGTGTTCTAAAGAAAATTGTAATTTCACTAGTGATTGAAATACAACGTTTTTTTTTTTTTTTTTTAATGGAAACTTCAACTTCAACCTTTAATCCATTCAAACATGCTATTGGTATTTCTCATTCGGTTGAAATATGAAGTAGAGTTCGAATTTAAATAACAGAAGATAACTTTTACCTCATATGTGCAACTTTTTATTACAGGAGACAATTTCATTGAACATTCAAATAATTTATTATATACAAAAAATATAAAAGGATAAAATAAATTTAAAGAAAGTAAAAGTAATGACACCCGTTTATTAGATAGACTAGCAAGGAAGAAACATACCACTATTGCAAAGCATCAAGTAACAATGATAATAAGGCAACATGAAAACCAGTAAGAGTATCAAACAGAACAAATCCACCTTCCAGTTTATCCATCTTGCCCTGCAGCAATTAAAATAAACCAAGATTAATGACACTCAATTGTGATAATCGGCCACAATTCAACCATGAAAAACAAGTGTAAACATACTTTTGTTGTCCATAATATCAACCGTCAAGTGAAGACATATAGATGGAAGTTTGGGATATTGCATAATTCTTAATAGAGCATTACTCACGAATGGAGCAAAAGGTCTTTTTATGGTGCTTTTAAAGATAGAAGAATTGTAGTTTGATTGTTGGGATGTGGACCATTCTTGAAAGTATGTTATAGGTAGACACTTAACTGTAATCAACCTTAGATCTCTTCAAAAAGAGTCCATACAGAATTCCATTAGTATGAGTAGATTTTCTCATAGAGACACGTGGTGTCAACTCTTCATGGCCTTCGGAAACTATGTTTGAAAGGAATTTCCTAAACAAGGAAACATGTCTCCTCATCTTTAGAGATGCAGAAATTAGAACATATCTTGTTTTAAAGAAGTGGCACCTCTCTACTCGCTTACTTCTTCCTATTTTTAGATGACTAATAATGAGGTAACTTCTTCTAAGACTTTTTAAGCCTTGCAAAAATAAAGAATATAAGAACTATAGTTCTAAATTATCCAAATTAAGCATACTAAAACAACCTGCCATCCTAACTAAATTCCAGGCTACTTCGCTTTTATTCATCCCTCTGTGAAAATGAACTCGCTCTCAAGTTCAAATTGAAGAAGACAAGAAGAATGAGCATCTTGTAACAAGTGAACTAAGGATTGGAGGAATCTTCAAGAGCCAAAAAGAGAAGTGAAATACTCCAACCATAAAGCTATTCTCAATCAAATTATAATCCAAGAAAGAAAGAAAAAAATTCAAGCAATTCACATGTCAACATGTCCTTCAAAATATGAAACCTTCAAAGCTATGTCTATCATACCAATCAAGCATCAATCAAAATTTGCAGTTTTACCATAATAGATGCAAGAATTGTTTGCTCAATTGGTAGCTTTAATTATGATCATAGCAAGGCAATCCACAAGAATCTCTCAAGTATTACTCCCACTATTTTAGCAATCCTATCTTTTAAAACATCATAAGAAACATTTTTCAGTTTCCTGAAAGTGGCTACTAAATTCTTACAACCAGTGAGAACTGTAGGCTAGTTTTTAGGTAAAGTGCGAATTAAAGGTAGGTTCAATTGGGTTGGAGAATAACTTTTCTTTGTTTGGTTCCGGTTCATGCCCACTCGTAATGAACCCCCGCCAGCCCCGATGTTGAGTCGTGACTCTTCCTGTAGAAACCTCCTTCAACTGATTCAAGTGATTCAGTCAGTAGGAAAGTCCGATGGAAAAGAAATAAAGAATTGTCTCCTTCAGATTTCTTATTGATCAGAAAAATAGGCTATGGAATAACCTTGGCTACTGCACGGTGGAGTTCAAATTGACTCTAAGAAAATCTGGCCCATTTTTCTTCCTATGGTTGATACTCCATTGTCCTCAGGATAAGGAGAGAAGAGTTAAGAGTCTTCCAACAATACTATCATCTCGTGGTACTCCTCCATGGATTCCTTGGTTCATCTTCAGGGCAGCCGATTGATCCATGTACAATCTAAAGCTTGTAATAACCATTTTCTCTGAATCCCAAATTATCCAGTACTAAAAACTGACCTCAAAATTACTTCTCCAAGTAAACAACACGCCAAACCAAGGTACATAATGCAATACCAAAAACAAGAAAATGATCCAAATTGCCCATAATTTAAGACACACGGCCCACACAACAATGTCTAGTGAGTTCGTTAGTGAGTAAAGCTGCAGAAATCGAACACAAAGAACTCACTCTTTAGACAGAAGAGGAATGATCTCGAAGAGAACGAGCTGAAGAAGATTGCAGGAGAGCGCGAAGACAACGCTGAATATGATCTGTACGAGGACTTGCTTTTCTTCGTACTCCTTGTAGAGTCTTTGATTCAAGAACCATAACCCCGCCCATCCGAGAAGGCACAGCGAACCCACCGCCACCACTCCCTCGCAGATCGACCACCCCCACCCCATAGCTTCGTCGCTCAGGTAATACCACTCCTCCGTCGACATCTAAAGCCGTAATCTCTTCACTTTTTCTAATCGTTCCTGTACACAGCATCAAATCAACAATGAGATTTCACGATTTGCCTCGTCTCTCTCGTTCTGTAGTCGATTTCACGATTTGCCTCGTCTCTCTCGTTCTGTAGTCGATTTCACGATTTGCCTCGTCTCTCTCGTTCTGTAGTCGATTTCACGTCTCCATGGCTTCATCTTTATCTAAACAAACATCGTACTCGTCTCAACTATTTTAAGCTTCCACCGAAATCATAGTTCTTTTTCCTCATTTTCTTTACTAATAAAAATATCCTTAAAACCGTTTTTTTCAAAAATATCTCAACAAAAGTTTTAATAATATATTAACTTTAAAATTAATTTTGAACATAAACATATATTTTCACTTTTTTCTTTTATTTCACTTTAGTCATTAATACTATTCCTAAAAAAAAAAATTAGTATTTTTTTAAGTTAAATTTAAGAGTATTAATTAAATTTTTTATTGCTTACTGACATTTTTTAAATACTTTTAAAATTTTGAGATTTTTTTTAAATAAAGTAATAATAATTTCAATGTTTTTTTTTTAAATTAAGAGTTTTTTAAGGTATTATTAAAAAATTTATAAATTAACGGCTATTTTTAGATAAAGTATAAAATGTAAAGTTATTTTTATTAATTTAGTTTTTTTTAGTTAAATTACAAAACTTTTATTTTAAAAATTTTCAACAAAATTATGAATTATTCGTATCTTTTTTTTAAGTTATTTATAATGTATTTTTTTAAAGTTAAATTTAAGAGTATTGATTAAATGTTTTTAAAGCCTACCAACATATTTTAAATAATTTTAAAATTTAGAGATTATTTTTTAAATAAAGTAATAATAATTTCAATAAAAAAAAAAACTAACTAATTAAATATGAGTGTTTTTTTTTTTAATTTCAGAGTTTGGAAGGTATTATTAAAAATTTTAAAAATTAATGGATATTTTTTTTAGATAAAGTATAAAATTTAAAGTAATTTTTTATTAATTTAGCTTTTTATTTTTTATTAATATATATATATATATATATATATATATTTTTTTTTTTTAATTACAAAACTTTCAAGATAATATTTAGTCTATGGTTTTTTGTTTTTAAATGGATCGTATTCTTAAAATTAAATTTTAAAATTTTATTCAAACATAATTTTCAATATTATACTTAATCATCATAACTTTTTAAAATTTTAAATTTGAAATTACCCTAAAAAGTGGTAAAAAAAAGTAATAGTCATTGGTAAATCAATTTTCAAACCAATTTTCTATTTTCTATTTTTTCGTCTTTTTTAAATGGCTACCTACTCATTATGGTACACTCGAAATCAATTAGTATAGAAGAGATGAGATATGCTTCAAAAGTTCGGTAGGTTGGAGTGCAAGCAAGTCTCAACACGAGTGAAGTCAAATGTCAAGATTCATGCACATGAAGCGTTGAACGATGAAATGATATACCGACATCTAATAAGTAGTCTTATATATTTAACTCTAACTTGACCCGACATTATATACCACGAATGGAACCTAGAGTCAATGGATCTGAAAGAGGCAACAGAAATAACAATGAACAAGCAAGCAATCACATCACTATTATTATAATCTTTCCCAATTCATTGGAAGATTACCACAGAAAACTCAAAACCGAATTAAAAACGGCATAAGATTCCTCCCGCCGGCCATCGACGACGACAATGAAGAACGAAGAAGGCAGGGGAGAGTACATTTCTTTGTTCATTCAACAACCGCACTTGCCGCTGATGAACGCCGCGAGCTGTCCGACGAGGTCTGCCGCCGAGTCGCAGCTTGGATTGAACAAATGGAACACGTGCCCTTCGCCGTCGGTTTCCACCACATCCACGGTTCCGCCCCATCCTGATTTCCTCAAACATTCCGCGTAATGCCGTCCCCTCTCCTTCAGGTTATCCTTCTCCGCTACATAAATCGCCACTTTCTCCGCCGCAAGCCGCCCCAAATCCGGTTCGTGCTCCGGATTCACAATCGGATCATCTAAATCCTTAATATCCTTCGAAACCCAATACCACAGATTCTCCACCACATATATGCTCTTCGGATCCCACTCCTTTTCTTCTCCGATCAATTTTCCCCCCCAAAAATGAGGGTGAATCAACTGCAATCCCTTGATCTTCACTCCGGCCAGCCCCTCCGTCGCCATCCGCAGCGCCATCCGGTGGGCGATGTTCCCTCCAGCGCTATCTCCAGCCAGATAAACCTGGTTCAGATCTGCAATTTCATTCAACCACTCATCTGGCCCGGTTCCATTCGAGTGAGCCGCGATCCATTTCAGAGCACTCCATGAATCTTCAAAAGGAATCGGTAGCTGGTGCTCCGGTGCGCGTCGATAGTTGACGGAGACAGCGACGATGTTGGCTTGAGCCACCCAAGGGTTGAGGTGCTGGTGGTAAAAAGGAGAAAACGCCGTTTCGATGCAGAACCCACCGCCATGGAAGTAAACAAGAAGAGGGAGCTTCTGATCTCCTTTTCCAGCGCCGGCAGCAGATTTAGGCCTGTAAATCCGGACAGCGACGGAATCTTCCTGCGAGATAACGACATCTTTGGACTCCACGCCGGTTTTCGGATCAAGACCGGGAGGATCGATGTCGTTGCCGATAAGCCTGTCGATCCGACGGTCTTTGTAAATGATGAACCAGGGTGCAGCGTTCAAGGCAATTTCATCGGAAGCCATGGCAGAACGAGCAAAGAAATGAAGAAAAACCAGGCAAACGAAAATGACGACCCCTTCCACTTTCTGCCAACAGACGCTTAAACAAACAATTCAGGTACAGTCTCAAAATTACACTAATACCCTTTTTAATTTACAATTAAACCTATAAATAAAACATTGCTGCCATCTTTATTTGATTGTATTTAATTTTTTTTACTATTTTAAATTTCTTAATTAATTTATTTATTTTACCATTTTCTCCACTATTACCGTTGGGGATACGAAGCAACAAATTATTGATTATAAGATTTGCATATTTAAAAAATAAAATAAAATAATTGAGAAGAGGGGGTGAATTCGTAAATTCACATTAAACCTATAAATAAAATATTGCTGCCATTTTTATTTGATTGTATTTAATTTTTTTACTATTTTAACATTCTTAATTAATTAATTTATTTTATCATTTTCTCCACTATTACCGTTGGGATATACGAATCAACAAATTATTGATTATAAGATTTGCATATTTAAAAAATACAATAAATGTCATTCAGGCAAAATAATAATAATAATAATAATAATAATAATTGAGAAGAGAGGGCGAATTCGTAAATTCCTACAAAAGATTTTAACTTTTTTTTAATGCTGTTACCAAATAAAGTAGGAAAAAATTAATTAATGGGTTAATTAATTGGATCTATTATAAAAGGAATGATACCAGTTGGTACTGGATTCAGAGAATTAGTGCACGACTTTGATACCATGTTCGTTTTGAGCTTCTCGAAAAGCCTCATACCAACAGAGAGAGTATTATTTGATTATAAACTCATGATCATTCCCTAAATTGGCCGAGATGAGACTTTCATCATCCAACAATATCAATTCTCACCTCAATTATAAACGGCAATTATATATATAATATGATAATATCTTAGAATACAAGAAAATAAATATCCAAATAAAACTAGCCTGCTTCAACATTAATCAATGCCTTGATTAAAGATTCAAGTAGCCTCTTTAGAGATTCGAGGGTCGGGTCCCCATCTCAGCCTCGTTTGAACTAAAACAACCAGAAAAACAAAAAGGGTACAATAATGTTAATAATAAATAGTACCTTTAATTATAATTTAATCTAATTTAATTTAATAAAATAAACAAATGAAATTTAAGGATATGAATCAAATTAAATCCTTTTCGAAGTCTTTTAAATTAGAAAGAAAAAGAAAAAATATATATAAAAAATAAAATTTATTCAACGTAATTTCTTATAAATATAAGTTCCACGTGGCTTACTCTGATTGGATAAAGGAAGCCACTGTTTTAACCAATGCAACAGCCTTCCCACAGTCAGGATTAAACAAATGAAACACGTGGTCCTCGCCTTCATTTTCCACCATCTCCACCGACCCCTTCCATCCACTCTCCCTCAGCGCCGCGTGAAATCCACGCGCCCTATCATTCAGGAAATCATGTTCCGCCGCTATTATCAGGACCCGGTTGCACCGAAACCTCCCTAGTCCCGGGTTCGCCCACGGGTTCATTCTCGGATCCTCCAGACCCGTCGACGTCGGAAAGATGTACTCTATTAACTTATCGGGCTTATCTATCATGAAAAATGGATGCACCAAGCCCAGCCCAATTATCTTGAGTCCTTCCGGCCCATTATCATTTTCGCTGGCCCGGCCCACGACGTTGTACGAAATATTAGCCCCAGCGCTGTCACCGACGATAAAAACGCGGTCGAAATCCGCGTGTTCGTTCAGCCACATCTCGGCGCCGTCGCGATTGGAATGCGACGCCACCCACTCCACCGCCTTCCAGGCGTCATCGTACGCCGCCGGAAGCGGATTCTCCGGTGCAAGACGGTATTCGACCGAGACAGCGACGGCGTTGGCTTCGGCAGCAAGGGAGATCAAGTGGCTGTGGTAGATCGAAGACGCGACGGAGCCGATGGCGAAAGCGCCGCCGTGGATGTAAATTAGGAGCGGAAGCTTCTTCGCAGAGGTTGAAACTTTGGGGAGGTAGATCCGGACGGAGAGTTTGGTGTGTGGATCGATGAGGACGTCTTTGGATTGGACACCGGTTCGTGAATCGGTGGACGGCGGAACAGTGTCGGCGGGAACGAGCCTCTCTACGCGGCCGCTCTTGAAGACGCGGAAGACTGATAAGAATTGGAAAACCACTTCTTCTCCGGCGGTGGAATCCATTCTTTTGGCGATGAAAGAAAGGAACGGTGGAAATAGGATTTGGTAAGGGAAAGTATGAACTTATAAATATTTTTCCATTTTATTTTAAGATGAAATTAATTAACAAAAATTAAAATTTAAAAATGGATTAAAAATACACAAATTCTAAATTAAGTGAGACAAAATAATATTTTAGCCAATGATAATAATACTTTTTTGTAATATATATTGAAAAAAAGGGAAAAAGCATTTTAACCTGTCTGAATTTCTATCCACAATTTATTTCTTACCAACCCTTACCTTTATTTTGATTTAGACGTTTTTTTTTACGAGAATTCAATTAGAAAAAAATTATTATTCTTTTGAAAAACAATTAAAATTATTAAAATATATCAGTAGAAATGAAAAAGTGGAAATTTACTGGTCTAAATAATTTTTTTTTACCAAATATGTAAATCAATTATTAATACATAGTTTAATTTTTAATTTTTTATTGAAATAATTCTACTGCAAGTCTTCACCTAAATACACTAGGCATACCAACCTCAACCAAACACTTCATTATATCAATACATACATAATTAAAATACAAATAAATTATAAATATCCTTAAAAAAAATATAATAATTTTAGAAAAATATATATTAAAATATCAAATAATTATTGGGAGAGAAGCTATTGATGCAATCAAGGAGCCCGTGTTTGATTTTAATGCAAATCTTGATGCTATAAGTGAGTTTGAAAAATTAATTGTGGTGAATTTTGAGAATATACTCAATGACATTGTAATTAATAATATTGTTAGATAAATTAAATGATGAAAAATTAGAATATTTCGAAGGGTATTATTACAAGTTTAATTTAGCATACTTTTTTATATTTAAAATAAAAATTTAAAAGGCAAATAATTAAGTTAGAGATAAATAAATAGAACGATTTACTAAATATTTTTTTTAAAATTTGATAGATTAAAAGTACAAAAATACCCCTGACTGGTCAACTTTCCAATCTGGGCAGACCAATATCTGTCTTACCATTTTTATTAAATTTTGCTTAAATTATCATGGATAATAATAAATTTATTATTTATAATAATTATTATTTTTGTGATACATTTTTTTTATTGAGAAATAAGTTTTTTTTTTCTTAATTATTAATTTTGTAATAGTTTATATACAAAATTTTGAATCCGATAATTAAGTTAACTTTATAGCTTTATTTACTCACATGTATATTATGAAAATTTACATTAAGTCATTTCGTAAATAATTTTCTAAATAAGTTATTGTGATTGAACTATCGAAAACAAAAATATTAATAATTTTTCAATTCTTTTAAATATTTCATAACTATGTTTAGTTGATTCGAGACTATTAATTAATTAAAAACTTAAATAAGAATTTCCACTAAGAAGAAGATAAAAAGAAATTAACCAGGGTAAAAGTAAAAACTTTAAAATAACCGTTGAAAAAATGATTTGGTAAATTTAGGAAGATAATGATAAATAACGCGAAACCCAACCTTACTGGGCCCTCTATTCTGGGTCCCACGTTTGACCACATCAACGCGATGCTACGACGTCGCTTCCACGGAACGGCCACGCCTCTATTTTATTTTATTTTTCATTTTTTCCGTCACAAATTATAAATTAAATATTAACAGTTTCTAATTTTCAGGGTGATTTTTACCCTTAATTCAATTTCCACACATTCTCCAACTAATTTAAATATATAAATAAAATACTTTTTTTTTATTTAATTTTCGTCACTTTTAAAAATTAATTTAAGATTTTTTTTATCAAACTTAATAAAAATTATAATTTTTGTTGTGCATAATTTTAATTTTTTATTTTCCTAACTAAACAACGAAATAATTTACGTAAAAGTTTGATTAATTTAAAAATAAAATATATTCTTTAAAGTTTTAAAATAATTAAGTTCAAAATTAAATGACAAATCCAAACCATTTGTTTTTTTTTTCTAAAATTTTAATAGAGTAAAAATTTTAAATACTAATTTCTTAAATTATAATATGAATTAATCTAAATATATATATATATATAAATTCCAATTAAATAAATGAATGGTAATTTGTGGAATATAAATTAATTACGTTCGTTGTCCAACCACCGGATCCAACCCCGTCACCACCGCCGCCCCGCTCCCTCATAATAGTATTTTATTGGAACCTACCATCCAGTATAAAAGCTATTTCACATTCACCATCTCCTCCTCTTTCTCTCTCTCTCCAACCTGGTCTTACTCCTTTCACATATCCAGCCAGGGCCGTCGTTTCTCACACATCTTGCCGGAGGGAGAGAATAAACGAAGAAGGCGACGGAGACGGAGACGGAGAGAGTTTGATTTGAATATCATGGCCCAGCCTTCCAACGCTGCTGATCTCAATCCTCAAACCCCTCACCCTCACCATCAATGGTATCAACAACAACGACAGTATCAGCAGCAATGGATGGCGGTGCAGTACCCTGCCGCCGCCATGGCCATGATGCAACAACAGCAGATGATGATGTATCCTCCTCAGCATTACGTGGCGTATTCTCACCATCCTTATCAACAGCAGCAACAGCCACAGCAGCAGCCACCGCCGTCGCAGCAGCAACAGCAGCAACCTCAGTCGCAGCGACCTCGCAGGCAGGGGTCAACGGACGACGTTAAGACGCTTTGGATTGGTGACCTTCAGGCCTGGATGGACGAGACCTATCTCCATAACTGTTTCGCTCACACCGGCGAGGTCTAACTTGCTTATCGTATCGAGTTTTTTTTTTTTTTTTTTTTTTTTTTTTTTTTTTT